GACAGACAGAGTTACTTTCGCATTTATAATATTAGTTGGGATGGGTACTAGTTCTTATTAGACTAGTTACTTGCTTCGAGTGCTAAAATTAGATAATGTACAGGGAACCCCTAGTTTCTACTTTACATAGGTAAGTACCTACCTACCTACCCTATGAACATACTTTAATGAAGACATTAATGTATTAATGACTACTTAATGGCTTGGGATGTTGGAATTCCCGTTTAAGTATAATGCGACTTCATCATTCCACATTTATGATTTCCATCCTGTGTGTAAGAGACTCGCTAATTTCTAAAGGAGGACCTATTCGTAGTATTGTGTTAACTGTGGTAAGACAAAGTTATATTGCTCGATAAGTGTCAAAATAATAACTTTGCTGCCCTATTATAGCATCTTTCCAAAACTAAGTTAACCACTCAATCAAAAAACACACCAAATACTTATGTATAAACTTCTAGGATTTTTTTAAAATAGTCAACGAATATAATTTAATCGATTAAATATTTAAAGATAAAGTACACAATTAGTTTGTATTCTTCTTCTATTTCTTTTATTGAATGTTCAAGTGCATTTTCACGAAATCAGTAGTTTGCCAGAGGTTTTGGAGAAATCGGTGAATTTACGTTTACACGATTTTAGCCCTGGTGGAAAACCCAATCAGGTGAAGTTTTTCAATAGGCGTAGCTTAAACAAATAAATTTTGCCGAAACTCAGTGTGGAGTTGCAAAGTAATTACGTGTTGCTTGTGGGGCGTCCCGAAAATATNACCTAGCTGGATCGTTTGTCTGAGGTAGATATACCTACTTGTCGACAATCGAGAATTGAGCTCCCAACTGATACTGGGTAGGGCGCAACATGGACATTCGACATAAGCTTCGTTTTGTCCATGTCCATCCTCAGGCCTACCTGTTGGGAAAATCGATTAAGGTCTTCGAGCATTGTACCAAGATCTTCCAACGATTCTGCCACATACAATATCGATGGCAAACCGATGTGTACACAGTACCACAGTGTACCGAACAGTATATGTACACCTCCACAATATCTAGAGATCATAGTGAGCATACATTTTAACTTTCAAGTCTCTTACTTTAAAAACCGAGGACTGCAATAAAAACTTCTAACCCCCTTTTTAACTCCCTGGCTTTGATCAGCCAGGTGATCAAAGTGGACTTACAGCGACAATTTAGTGTCCTTTGAATTTATTCATCACTCAGGATCAGGATCACCCACGGATACGATGTCCTGGGTGAACCAAGTGGACTCTAGTTAAAATATTATTTTAGTGTCCTTTGATCATCTACAAACAAATCACACCCCCTCAGATTAGTCACATGTCCAATTGTTGTACTACATATTTTGTTTTGTAACATTTTTGACATTTTCTAAAAACCGCATTCACATACATGTCCAATAAACAAATTGGACATGTATGTGACTTGTGACAATTCAGAGGTATGTGGTTTATTTATAGGTGATCAAATAACACTAAAAAAATAATTTAACTGGCGTCCACTTTGATCATCTTGGTGATCAAAGCCAGGTGGAATAGACCATGAACCCCTGAGAACTCTTTTGAGACTTGTAGTTTCTGAGACTTCGTGATGAGTGAGTGAGTCACTTAGTCATTCAATGACCTTTCTTTCTACTAAAATTATAGGTACGTACCTATAGTAACTATCATTAAAATCAAATAAGTAAGTNGTCCGGAGAGAAAAAATTACAATTTTCAAGTAGTGACGTCAGGCTACAGCAGTCTCGATCGTCTTGCCCACTTCCGTGCTTGATCGTCTGAAACCTTTAGGTAAGCATACAAGTAACCTACTCCAGTATTTGTTCGTTAAAAATGTGTTCCCGGTATTTCTTTTTAAAAGTGTACAATGTTTGCAGACGACGTAATGGCGCACAGTGGTCTGAAAATGAAGCTCCCATACCATAGAAACTTAATGTCAGAAATTAATAAATAAAAATATGTATTGTGTTTAGTATACCTCCCTTTGTTTAACTAATATAGTATGAAGGGTATGAGTAGCTCCATGTGTGAGAAAAAAAATATTTTTATTTTTTTTGTATGGAAAAAAACACTTAAAGTGGATTTTTTTTAAACTGAATAGAACTGAAGGGCTGGTACTCACATGAGCTATTGCACCTTACACGGCGATCAAGATGACATACAATTCTTGTGCCTTTGGGTGCCGCTTTGCATGTACCAAGCTTTGGAAATTTTGAATTTTCGGTAGGTGATCTTTCACGTCTTTGATGTTATTTTATGAAGTTTTTAACCGCTTTCAATACGAGAATAGTATGTAAATTAATACTCACATAACTAGGAATATACTAGGGATATTTTTAAATAATTTTTATTTTGAAAATATAAAAAAATAAAACATTTAATCATTGAATGAAGTAACCAACCAGTTGGTAACTGACATTGTTATTAGTTACTAACCTGCTAATGACGTTTTAATGAAAATAATAGAAATCAATATTGATTAAATAAACAACTTCAAAAATCGAACTACCTAATAGGCCAGTAGAATTACATTTGAAATCGGAAATAATTCCTACAAAAGATTTTATTGTTTTAATGGCTTCATTTGTTACACATTAACACTATCCTAAATTTTCGACTTCGACTGAGTTGTGCTTAAGTGGTGGGGGCCCCCGAAAAGGGCATTTTTTCGGTTTTACGGTTATATCACGTAAAGGACTTATCCTATCGAAAACTGGTCTTCATGACGGTTGAAGGGCATTTAATCCTGCATTGAATAAGACCAAATTCATAATACATATTATGTATTGGACAAACCGTTCTCGTGCTTATCTTCGAAAAAGTACAAAATGTACGTGTAAATATTGACCCTCTCTACGTCCAATGGCTCGTCACTCGCAGGCTCCCAAGCCTTGTAAAGGGCCGACTCCACCAGTTTAACCCTGTCAAGGCATAAGAGCTGGATGCACCTATCCTTGTTCGTCCCAGCCGTTCCTTAACTGCGGTTACTGCACCTCTTTCTTGCACTCTCCTGAACGACTCTGTGTTACCATACCAGGCATCGATTAGGCAACGTATCGAATGGCTGGGACGAACAAGATATAGGCGCATTCAGCTCGTAAGCCTTGACAGGGTTACACTGGTTGAGGCGGTCCTTTTCAAAACTTGGAATCCTGCGGGTATCGAGCCATTGGACGTGGAGAGGATCATTAATTATACGTACATTTTGTAGTTTTTCGAAGATAAGCACGAGAACAGTTTGTCCAAAACATATGAATTTGGTCTTATTCAATGCAGGATTAAATGCTCTTCAACCGTCATGAAGACCAGTTACTGTTTTCGATAGGGTAAGTCCTTTACGCGATATAACCGTAAAACCGAAAAACGCCCCTTTCGGGGCCCCCTCACCACTTAAGCACAACTCCGTCGAAGTCGAAAATTTAGGATAGTCTTAATGAGTAACAAATGAAGCCATTAAAACAATAAAATCTTTTGTAGGAATTATTTCCGATTTCAAATGTAATTCTACTGGCCTATTAGGTAGTTCGATTTTTTAAGTTGTTTATTTAATCAATATTGATTTCTATTATTTTCATTAAAAGTAATTAAAACGTCATTAGCAAGTTAGTACCTAATAACAATGTCAGTTACCAACTGGTTGGTTATTTCATTCAATGATTATATTTTATGTTTTATTTTTTATATTTTCAAAATAAAAATTACTTAAAAATATCCCTAGTATATTCCTAGTTATATGAGTATTTATTTACACACTACTCTCGTATTGAAAACGGTTAAAAACTTCATAAAATAACATCAAAGACTTGAAAGATCACCTACCGAAAATTTAAAATTTCCAAAGCTTGGTACATGCAAAGCGGCACCCAAAGGCACAAGAATTGTATGTCATCTTGATCGCCGTGTAAGGTGCAATAGCTCATGTGAGTACCAGCCCTTCAGTTCCATTCAGTTTAAAAAAAAACCACTTTAAGTGTTTTTTTCCATACAAAAAAAATATAAATATTTTTTTTCTCACACATGGAGTTACTCACACCCTTCATACTATATTAGTAAAACAAAGGGAGGTATACTAAACACAATACATAATTTTATTTATTAATTTCTGACAACAAGTTTCTATGGTATGGGAGCTTCATTTTCAGACCACCGTGTGGCGGTGGCAAGTCATTCCAGCACTTGGAGGCGGCAAACCTGAAGCTACCCCGGAAGGCAACGGTTCGGTGCGGCGGAAGAACGAGAGTGCTGCTGGAGCGACGGGTCTTGTGCGAGTGGAATTCCCTTGTCCAAACTAATTTATCTAGTAGATAAGTCGGAGTGTTGTTTTTCATTATACCAAAAATTGCACACACCTATGGTAACTTTAGGTTATTGTTCTCGTAAAAGTAGAATCCGCATCCACTATTAGTATAATTTGTGTAAGAATATTGGATACCGGGACAGAATATTGTCCAATAAAGACACCTAATTTTACGACTCCTTGTAATTCGATGTGATGTGGGAGTAGGGTTGCCAGGTCCAAAATCATAAAAGCCGGACTTTGTGCTTCATTTGGCCGGACATTTTACCCTAAAAGCCGGACATGTGACGGGGGGGGGGGGTGCAATTAGTGTCAGCTCATGAGTGACTACTATCATCATCGGTTGCTAACCAACATCCTGATGCGTGCGCTTCACATGATTCTGTGGCTCGACTTTCGCCTGGCGCGGCCACCTAATAAAAAGCCGGACAGGCCGGACAAGGCAATTTTTGGCCGGACAAGTCACTAAAAAGCCAAACATGTCCGGCTAAAGCCAAACATGTCCGGCTAAAGCCGGACGCCTGGCAACCCTATGTGGGAGTTGTGGGAAGAGCCCTGGATTGTAGGAAGTGAGGTTCCATTATTATGCTTAGGTACACTATTAGGTACACAATTCTTACATACAGGAATCATGCCTGAGACAAAACGATGTATTAAAATCAAAAATTAGGTTTTAAAAAACGTAACTCGTGCTTAGTAACCATTTATTTATAAAAATATATACTCACATTAACAAATTGTCACAAATTTTTGATCGTACGAGTACTCACATCACAACAATATAGTCGACTTAAGATTTAGATAACAACCAAATATGAATATCAATCGGTTTTGTCATTACCTTTATACATAGGTATACCATCAAATTCATCTTAGAAATACGAGTATAGTGATGTCATCTGCAACACAACAAATAAATAGGTACAAAAGTGGATAATTAAAATAAAAAATATTTTTTTACATACTTACTACATTAGGTACATTACTGTGATTTCATGTCATGCTTATTAAATCTTTAACAGGCATAGCAAGTTCAAATTTTTGGACCTTAAGATAAGGTTACATTAAAATTCCCTCTGCCTTTGTATGTTCAAGCCACCAAGGTCACGTCGATGGTAAATATCGCCACCGATTTCGATAATTAACTCTCATGACCTTTCCAGGAACAACGCATCCGGGATCGGAATTCGGGATTTGAGAAATAGAATTTGTATTAAAAATATGTTTAACATGTAAGGCGCTCTTAGAGGGTAATTTGAGTTTAACATAACTTCATTTCACATTCTGAATTTCTACAATTATCATGTGCCTTTGTTACATTTTATTTGAAGAACATTAAGGGTTAAACTTAGGGTTGGCAGAAACTAAAGTTGTAAACTTAGTTCTCAATTGATATTATCAGTGTTTGTCATTAACGGGGAAAATATTTTTTTAGTCTCAATTAGTGCTTTTAAAGCACAACATTGGACGTACACGTACACATTCGCATAGACTATAATAAATGATTTAAGACACTAAAATAAGAAATAACATTAATAAGTGAAATAATGTACCTACTAATTGCGTGAAAGTTTTGAATACTACCTACTTGAAACTAGTTTTAACTTAGTTATTCACCAACCTGAACTTCTATTCTAGTTAATATAGCATTCCCTTTAAATTTTATTATGTGCTTCGGTACATTACAATATTTACAATTACATTGGATACAAAACAATCGACGTATGCGACTCGCGACGCCATTCCGACGAAATCGACATGTCACATTATTTAAAGGCACTGTTCCTTACACCCTCTAAATATGTGAAGACATTAAAATTTGCTATCATGACAAGGCTTCCTGCCCAAATAACGATGTGATATTGTGGAAAAAGATAATATTATCAAGTCAGTGAATGGATTGGAACAAGAGAAACATTTACAACATAAATAATGTTGTGACATTAACTTATGACTACGTATATGTTTGTATGCAAGGAAATCAACAGTTTATAAACACAGATTTCTAAAATCTAACCAATCAACCATTCAATTCTAAAAATAATCAGCAAAAATAACGTTCTTAAAAGTTGCTGTCAATTTATGTCATTTTCCGTATCGGTTCTGTGGTTTCATTTAACCCTATCTGAAAGTTCCGATGATTTGTGCGAGTAACTTTCATTCGAAATTGACCCAGAAAGTTTTGGGAATGCCTGGCTGTCTCAAACACTCGCTCCAAGTGTCGGAGTAGGCCGACTTCTCGTCAATGGTGGCTTTCCCGAGAATTTCCTTCTTCGCCATTTTTGTTTTACATCCCAAACTGATGTATATGCTGACTTTGTTGAGGCTCGCTTTGAACACCGTCAATTTCACAGTGGCTGACTTCGGGTCCCATCTTGCGGAGATTGTGGGCGCGAATCTGTCGCTCTTCCAGTAGCACTCTGCTTTGTTGGCCTCCAATATCGTTGCCTTCAGGTACAACGGCGCTGGAAATGTAAATTTACTTTTAGCATTATGGATAAACGTTTATGATTAATAGTATATCGCGTTTAGGGGTTAGGAGGTGGTTGGATAGTATTACTTAGTCTGTAGTAAATATTGGTCTAATTTGAAGTTGAAATTGCTTTAACGTTAGCTTTGAGGGGTAAATAATGTAACACACACTATCAACAAATGTGGGAGTAAAATGATTTAAATGATCAACTATTGAGTTTTTAAAATTTTATGAGATCACATTGATGATTCATAAGAAATGATAAAAGCATAACTAATAATATTTGTTATCTTCATAAATCATATCAGTGGTTCAGTGACGAGGCTCATTAACAAAATTTCGGTAGGTATGCTTATTCAACTTATCTCGCAAAATAGATAGAGCCGATTACATCATATTACATCATACCGATTATTCATATCAAATGATTGGATGATGATGGAGGATTCATGGAAAAAGATTACCGGTTAACTTTTGTCACGTATATTAAAAAATATAATCAATAAAGGAAAGAAAGAAATAAAAGACGAAAGTTTAAGACCGGGTCTTGCAAATACAGACTATCCGCAAATACGAGGCGAAAAGGTCAAGACTCCAAGTTAGCAACACAGAGACGCTTTCATTCGTCATAATTAGTACCTACCTATTAAATATCTTGGCTATTTCACAACGAGATGTGTCACACTCGTACTTACATTTGAAGCATTCATAGATAACAAAAATTAAACTTATTTAGTATTTTGTTTCAGCGTTTCGGCGAAATGAATTTCGCCATTGATCTTTCTCAGATGTTATTATACTCGTAGAGCATGGATATTATTTAACAATTTGAAATTGTTCATACATTTACAACCAAAAATATGTGGTTATTTATATGACAATGCCAGATTGTAATACCTAATGTTTCTTCATCTTGTTTTATGATTCTATTGTCTTATGTAAAAAAAAAAAACAATTTTATTTAAGGGTGCAGAGGGAAGCCCTTTACGTATACTTTGCACGTAATCTGGATCTTGGACGACCAATAAAATTGTTCTAAATTTAGAAAATACGATGCTGCTTCCTTAACTCATTTTTACGAGCTTATAAAACTCATTTACTGAACAAGGCGTACGTTTTGAACAGTAAATGAACGTGTCACGTGTCCGGGCGATACGTGCGCTTATAATGTGCGACGCGGAATGAGCCGTCAGAGTGAATGCAAATCCTGAAAATGTTCACACTCCACGTGTATTTCAGCGACCGAACATCGAGCATTCGCAGAATATAACAAAACATAGTTAACGAACGTTTGATTGAATAGAAATTATTCGATTTAAATAGTGGTTAACTTCCTGAAAAACAAACTGACACTGACGATGAACACTGATTCATTAAGCTATGAACAGTAGCAGCTCAGTGTATCAGTTAAAGTGATATTTTGCAACCAAATGAAGCCTGATGTGCAACTGCATTATATTAATTTAATTGGATAAATATTAAAATGTTACACAATATCATCATACCTAACTGAAGAAAACTAAATTATAAAGTAGTTAATTAATGATTCGGAAGCCATATTTAATGAAAAAGAAAGTATATTAAGTGGTTACGTGTACTTAAATAACATTTTTAGAAAATTGGGCGCCGGGTGAGAAAGGTTTGCTAAGTAATTCTCGCGCATAACAAAGTAGGTGTGAGAGACCGTTTCGGAAATTTACTAGGGTTTCAACTTTCATTGTTTTCCTCGCACCTACAAAGTGGGTGTAATAGGGATCCTTTTTTCAGGGCAAATAAAGTAACAGATTTCCTAAGCAAGCCTACTCACAAGCATCAAGAAATAAGATTTAGGTACTTAGTTGCAGACTTATAAAACAACTCCAGCGATTTTTATTTGCATTTAGAGGTGTTACTTATTGAGGTTTATATTAAAAGTTTGAATATAATACAAAATAAAGCGTGGTCATTCATTAATAGTAAGTACCTAATCGTCTGATAGGCTGGGTTTGTACCACCTAACTTCAATGTGATGGTGCAACCCAGCCTAGACATAACCCCAGAAAAGTCATGTTTTAGAACCTTTTAACATTTGACATGGAATCGAACCTAGAACCTACTCTTAGTAAAAATAACTGCACCACCTGCGGCACCGAACTTTTTTTCGAGTTTTAGAGTACTCTTATAAAAGTTTTGAGCCTATAGCAATGCAACCCAAACCAAAAACATAAATATTAAGTAGCTTCCTAAGTACTAAGAAAGTTACGTGCCCTGAGTTGTAAAAAGGCTTCGAAGTTATAAACAGACATATTTATGTCAATGTTTCCTTTTCGGTACGAAGTTGAGGAGTCCCAATAATACATAAAAGTGAAAGTTCTGAACCTTTTTGTTTCCTACTACGGCTGCGGTGTCACCATCGGATCTTCTTGTATTTTTTTATTACTGACATTGGAAAAGTTTGCAAACAGTCTGATAAAATTACAAGGCATCATGTGGCCGCACCTTTATGTAGTTAAATGAAAATCCGATGTGAAAAAACCTGATCAACAACTACTTTTCATGTCTAGAAATATTCAAGGACCGTAGCTAATATAAAGCTAGTTCACAAGTAAACAAAGCGAGACTCATATTAAAGTAGGACAGAAATCGGCCTCAATATATTCAAGACGACAACGTCGACACCAACTCATCCGTATTAACCATTCAACAAGCATACGGCTCGGCGACAACTCTCTCTTCAAACCAAAGAGCATTACGGATATTGCTATGCCGCGCGACCCATCCGAGCGCTAAGCAAATAAATTCCTCCTGTAGTACTTCAGAAAGATACCTAACTTCCTTGGACAATGAAGTACCTAACTAATATTGGTTGATTTGACTTCTGAGTAATAACGTCCTTATTGTTGAAATGGTATCTAGTTAAGCTATGAATAGCTTCGAAACTTCGATTAGTTACATTAGGTACTCTGCATTGATTTGATAGCGTTATCCTTAGGTACGACGATATACCTAAGTACTGTCGGCAAGTTAGCTTGAGTAAAAAATACATTATTTATTTATGCAAATACATTAATTTATTTCACAAATGCATTTTACGAATTAATAGTAGTAGCACAATCTATGTAGGTAATCTATAAGCAACTCAAATATTATGAATGAACATAAGTGAAAAAACTAAAGAAAAAAAATCAATTTTAGAACTTACAGGACTTCTGACTATAACTGACACCTCTAACGTACGAGTAAAAGACCCTATAATCCGTTTATTTTAAGCTAAGTATAAACAAACGATTCATACAATAGAAAAGGTTCACAGAAAAAAGACCGGCTCCGACTGCCGTATTATAAATGGAAAGGAGATAAAGATCATCCTTCCTCTCTTATACAGAGATTTGACCACGTCTTTGCTAGAGCGAAAACAATTTATCATCATAGGAAACCGATGTGAGAACTTATGTTATTACGGGAACCCTTTGAGGCGCTGACATGTCATAGCAGAAAAAAAACAATTATCACATTTATACACCGTTTAAAAAGATGGTCGTCTACCTTCCTAAACTGAAAACGGAATAATCGTTAAAGTTTTTTGCACAACAAAACACAGACACTCCATTTTCTTTCTTTTCTATTTGCTAATTAAGAGATAAAGTGTACTTCTGGTCTGGCCTGCTTTCATATCAAATCCACTGTAAGCTACCCAAGAGTACCTAATTTTAATTACGCACTGCTGGCCGAAATAAAAGACAAAAGAGGACGAGAATCAGTTTTTAAGACTTGGTATATTTTGACACACCTAAATATAAATCGGTTAGCAAAGTACCTACCTACGGCCAGAATTACCGGAAAACTGAAAATCTAATCCACATGAAGGAAGTGTTTCACCCTCAACAGACAATAAATTGGAGGATTGAAATAAAACCCTTCGTCCCCTAAAAACCTTACCCCTATCATCGGAGCATTACAATTTCTGCCTGTTAACCAACCAAATAAGGTCTTAGGTTTTCAGCTTTGAAAGCCTTTATTCAACTTAAGTATTCCGAAGCGATAAATGAGATTAATTAAGAAGTCATTTGCATACTTTTACAGGCAAACAAATTATAAAATTTAATAAAACTAACGTTTTAATCACAAATACGGTTAGCAATAATTTATTATTAAAATGCTTTAAACAGAGGTACTTTTTAGAGTTTTTTTAAGAGTTTATTTAAAGATGAAAACGTACCTACTAGGTAATTTTGGTAGACAAATGCCCGTTTTCACCATCAATCCCTAATTTTTAAGTGAACCCTATCAACCCTATGGTAACAAATAATAGGAATTTTGTTTACATAGGAGTCACTTAAAAATTAGGGATTGATGGTGAAAACGGGCAATAGGTACTTAGGTAACGAGTCACACACACTTACGTCGACAGTTACTTATCAAATAACTAATACTACGAGTATAGTAGTCTGGTTAAATTCCTTTACCATTATAATCATCAAATCAAAGTTTAATATACCCTCGGTACTTGATATTAACAAGCTAAGATGAGATATAATTTCACTCTTCGTTAATCCCAAATTATATTAGGAGATTAAATTATAAATTAATCCCACGTGAAACATTATACACTTGATGACACACTTAGAGGCAAATCGTTCTGGAAAATAATAATTAGTTAGACAANGTTCAACTGGCGTCACCAATGTACGTATTTATACACTGTATACCTAATTATCACGTCGGGCGTATTGATACACTGTACGTTATTTTTATATACCCGATGTACGTAATTATATTAATATACGTTATATTCAGGTATATTATTGTTAAGTCCACAAAACGTACGTCAGAAGGTTGGAACAGTAAAACATGTGATTTCTTTAAAGGTGTATTTGCGACTAAAATAAAACTGGCGGGCTCAGCCGCCGACACATACAAGGAACAGTATAACTATTGTTTTCTATTGTTGATTGTATTGGGCAATGATGTGGGAACGCAGGACGCTACTCAATACGCTCTGTTCATTCATGG